CAGCTCAAATATGGCTCATTTTTACGCTATCAATAACTTTTTTAAATCAATTTATTATTCCCTATTAAATTTAAATATATAACTTAGATATATTTTTGTATTCCCCAATGATATTATATACAAACAAGAGGTAGGTAGGTCTTAATTAGAACACGCACTAACTAATTAATTCAAGAACATTCATCTATGCCTTCCTGTGTATTCCGTAAGTGCACTAATTACGACAAAAAGGTAAATAAAGGCATATCATACCACAGGTAAGTATATGTTTTGTTCCAAAAATGTATTAATAGATATATGTGTGTCACCAACTCTATTCATCCCGTGGGTGTCGTAAGAGCCGACTAAGGGAGCAGGCCAACAGCACTGCAAATAGAAGGATAACTTGACACAAACCCTATACCAATCCGTATGGCCAGCGTGGTATCATAGGCCAAAAACTCCTCTCTAAGGAGAGGCCTATGTCCAGCAGTGGACTATTATAGCCTGTTGATGTGATGTGATGTGCGATGAATAGATGTATAATTATAAATATAAAAATTAATTATAAAAAATATTTGTTCCGTAACCGTACCCGGAACTAATAATTATCTATAATGAATATAATGATACATTACTTAAAATATCTTTCTTAATCCCCTTTAATTCTGTATTGTGATACCCTATTCGATAGGTTAAGTTAACTTTATACATATATATATATATATATATGTATATATAACTTTATCTGTTTTGCGCCAGAAATCGTCAATTTTGATTTTTTCTTTCAAAGAGCCGAGAGAGGGTTTTTGAGATGGATAAAATAATACCTTATCTGTAAAGAAATTTACGTACAAACATACAAGAAACACGCGAGAAACATGACCCTTTCTTGGCGGTCGGGTAAATAGAAATAAAACAAATACATTGTTAATATGAATAAACTTTATTACTACAATAAAAGGATATAGAATGAAACCGACACGACGTCTGTAACAAAACATTCAACAATATACTTTGGAACCGAACAGGTAAACACTTTGGGTGCCGACATATTATGCCCTAACTTACACATTTAACATTTATTAGACCAGTGTTTCTCAAACCACTTAAAAAATTTCCAATACCGATAAAAATAATCAACAATCACTTTGCGCTTAACAATGTACTGTTTGTTCAAGATCTTATACTTATAAATGTAGCACAAAGTGATCGCCAAAAGATCTTAAAAAATAATAATCCATTACGATAACTACGTCCGACATAACGTCCATATGAGTACAAACAATAGACCGCTCACTTAAAATAAATATACAGATCTTCCAGCACCATTTACTTAAAACGGAGGGTCCGTTAAACCCTACTGGTTAAACTTTAGAGATTACTTTTTAATCTCAACATACCATAATAAATATTTAAATTGTGAAGGTTTTAATAATGTAATGATTTAAAAATTGTGATTAATATATTTGTAAATTCCCGTGTTTTTGTGTACTGGCCCCTTCTCCATTAACCTTAATACTAGGTTTTTCGAATACATAATAAGGCTATATATTGACAAGGCAAAAATATACATATTTCTTCATAAGATAAATATTTTGATGACATTGTAAAGCTTCACAAAGCTCATTATTAAAATATCATTTAGGAACAGTAAAAAAAAAAACGTAACAATCAATTAAACTTTACATAAAATTAACAATTATTTATCTTTAAAAACTATTTGAAAGTAAAACAAAATGAAAACAAAAAGTGCAACACATTTACAAATGAAATTAAAGGAGCAATATGATAATTGTGGACATTGTATAATACCACATTATTGACGTGTTTATAATACATAATATTTTATATAATATAACCTATATATTACATATACAATATCTACAACCTATCTTCTCTATTCTAAAAAACATTTGGTCTTTGGATGAGCATGTCACATTATGGCTTGTGTCATCGTTTGTAACTTTAAAAAATATATAAGTGCACTTTTCGAATTTCGTACTTGTTTTTTTCTTTATAATCCCTAATCTAGACTAGACCTGCAACTAAAACTTCACATGCGCCGACATTAACATAGGATAGAATAAAATCACAGAAACCCTTTAAAATCCATTACAAAAATAAACTTGAACATTTGAGAAACACTGTTCTTCATTGAAAAACACCTAAGTATATTACTTTTGACAATTAATGTTTAACTTAAAATTGGTTTCACAATATTCATATAATGGGATGATATTTTTTTTTCTTTTTTTTTTTCACACTTGAAACTCATGAATTTTCGATAAACATCAGGTACCTAATAGGGACAAGAATAATCTAATCCGTGCGTTAAATGTCATTTCGACATTTCAAATGAGTAGATGATTTATTTTTATGCATTTGATAACTTACAATTGTGAAAGAAATAATATATTAATGTTTTTTTTTAACTAAAAACACTATAAAGGTTTTTATCACAAAGAAAATATGCGAGTTTGACTCGCAAAGTGACGTTCAGCCGATATTTTGAGGCCATTATCAGCAACAAATATACTTCTGCCTTTTACCATTCTTATCCTACATCACAATACCTTACCACAAAAGATTTCTTCCTTTACCCAATACTTGTTGCAATTTCAAACCTTATTAAGTATAAATTTTTATAAAAAAGATAAATAGATTTATCTTTTACAAATCTTTTGTTTACGATTGGAATTCTTGGTTAGCTTTCCTTTTAGCACTTCGTTAAAGCTATAGTGTACTCTTAAAAATGTTTTTTTTTCTATATAAAATCGCTTAAACAGAAATTCCAATCATGACCTGGAAATAGCGAATGACTGATTTAATATAATTGGTACGGTATGCCTGACAGTTCGACAGATTTAATGTTTCTCAATTTTGTATGAATGATATCCTAACAATAAAACATTCTACATTTATAAACTTTATACATGATATGTCGTTCTGGATCGTTCCAGACTTGATTAAGCAATGAAAAAAAAATTTGATTTATGGATGTTTCAGTGATACGTGCGATAATTATTGCGAACATATATTGTTATTCCATAAGCTCATTTGTACATCACTATCCCCAGTTTTACATTCCAGCACATTTTGCGTCCTCAAGTTGCCATTATGTTAGTTGTGATAAATTCGCTTTTATATATAAAAAACACGTGACTCACGTGTACAGTACTATACAATAATTATATAATATAAATGATAATTGCACACAAGCACTGTTGCCAACGTAAATAATAAATCACCTTAAAAATGCAACGCAGTCTATATGCATGGTGTTTTCGTTCTTAAACATCTCTAAATTATTAAGGCGATTTATATAACCTAACTTTACACATAATGAGGTTTACGAATTATCTAAATGAATGACTGTTTGGCATAAAACCTTCGGCGTGCCATGGCACTGGGCGCCATGTCTCGCTGAAGTCGTTTACACTAAAATAATGCACAAAATTGCTGAATGTTAGTTTATTTCATATTTTAAATTTCAAAATTTAGAATATTTTTCTAACTCACACACAAATCATGGCATTTTACGTGTTGAAATGTGATTTAACTTACTTTTGCAATTATACCTGTATTACACTACTGCTAAGTTTACTCAACATCAGTGTAAGATCAAAGTGTACGATAATTTTCAAGAATTTATAGATTTTGTATCATTATATCAAGTATTTTAATAATGCTCAATAACTGTCTTACTTTTGAAACTTAATGTTAATATCTTAATACAATGAAATAATTTTCAGTTCTACTTCCAAACTATATTGAATGGTGCATCATTTTAGAGTTAACGATCGTTTGTATAATCTAAAAAAAAAGTCCTACAACGACAACGATAACATAATTTTAATTTATTTGTATCTCTTCTTATAATAATTAAATACATTATGCTTTGTAGTTATTTGTAGAAAATTAAGGGTGCCATGAATGAAATTTTGTAATGATTTAAAAATAAAACATGATTATTTAAAAAAGGATCCCATTTTACTTGTGACTCATTACATTTTCCATGCCACAAATCAGGTCACAACGATAGTTATCGTCATTCGCGTTAAGAAAATAGTGACGCATCGATCAACCCTGACTAGTCAGGTTCCAAGCTTTCGTACGAAACGATAATCTCTTGGAACTTGATGGGTTAAGGGGCGGGGATTCATCGATACGTCACTGTTTTCTTCAGTTTTCACGCGAAAGGACGTATGGTAAGTTCGTCACCTACACGTGTCTATATAGTCGAATGTATTTTTTTTAGAAAGTTTATTTCAATTCCATAGTAACATATTGCAATAATTCTAATATTGAATACCGTGAAACTTATAATTATTATTATCGTGTAGTACTGGTAATAATGGAGACGATTTACCCAATATACGGTTGTAGAAGAACCAATTTTACTTGTATAGATGAGTGTATGACAGCCGCCGTTTGTAATTAAATGGGCGTGTGATGAGTGACGAAAGAATTGCATTTGGGAACAGCATCGTTTAGAAAGGTCTGGTTTGAGATAAACGAGCTGTTGTGACATTATGATCGATAACATACGATTGTGGGATGGAGTTATGTTTATTTAACCAAATTTTAATGATTTTCATGTAAATTGTTCAAGAAAAGGGGACGAAAATAATTGACATTTTTGAAATGTTCATTTAATACTTCACTGCAACTACAGATAGTTTATGTAAATATGTTTGAAGTTTGATTCCTAACATTAACAATCGAGAGCCGCGGAACAGGCTCCCCTTATTTCTATTTTTTTACTTCTAGACCTAACAAAGCAATATGTAGCATCCTAACCGACAACTAACATAGGTATACATAGAGGTTCATTTTTTTTCTATTTTCAATATAAATAGTTACTATAGCTACGTTATAAAAACTATGTTAAAAGTGTACAATAATATTATTTCTTTATGCGTACAATGTAAAATTAGATCTATATATAAATATTATCTGATTACAAAGTAAATAATTTTTGGAATTTGTTTTTAAGGCTAGTTGTTGGTTTTTAATACCAATGAAGCGTGGTCGCCTGCCGTGGCGGTCATGTGGTCTATCATGGACGTGTCGTCCAGCTTCGAGGTGTTGGATGCGACCTCTGCGAGAGTAGTTAAAGCGAGCAGGTCAACGCTGTGCTGAGTCTGCTTGCAAATCTCCATGTTCTGGACAACTGTGCAGGGCGCTTCAGTAGCAATCTTTATTTCTGGACTAATGTTGTGAACCTCATTCAAATCCACGCTCGAAACCATGCTGTTGATCTCGAATCGAGTGATGCTTATCTTCCTCGGTTTTCGCTTCTGACTGCCGATCATGGTGTCCCGCCAATTGTTCACTATGTGCCGCCTGTCATCTAACATCGGCCTAGGAACTGAATTGACTATTTGAGAAGGCTCGTGCACTTTTGGCTTTAGATTGATTGTTTTCTTCTTACGTTTGTTCTCGCGCTTTTTCTGTTGAAACTTTTCTAAGCTAAGCGAGGGTAATGCCCTTATTTTGGCGTCTAAGTCAAAATCAGCAGCCTTAAAGGTTTTGTTAACATTATTGTCTGGTTCAGGCCCATCGAATGTGTCGATTTTTTCTTCGCTGTCAGCAGACTTGTCGAATAAGGAACAGCTTTGTTTCGGATCATCAATGGTCGAAGTGTAAGACTCGTCGCTCCGCGAACAACCAGGATCCCAGCTACAGGCAGCGTTGTAGTTGTCGTCTGGCTTATCTGAATCCCTCTTCTGCCTCTTGTTAACAATAAGTCCCCCAACAGCCATGAATTCCTGGTACCGTTTACCCTTGCACGATCTTCCAGATCTCATATTTTTTTCATCATCTGACCAGTTCCTCTGGTAATCATCGTCTTTGGAGTACCTCTTATCAACGATTTGGTCTATCACATCCTGATTAGTGTACCCGCCCTCGTTGGATATACCATAGTATATCCTTCGTTTCTCATCATCAAAGTCTTCTTCAAACACTTTAGTAGTTTCAGTGAGTGCGTTCTGAAGTTCGCGTATGTCGTCTTCTCTGTTGTGGCTTTTCAGTTTAGCCCTTTCTATTAAGTTATGAGATCTGTATTCGTTTGAGATCGTGTTAATCTTAAAGCATGGAGGTGAGTAGTAAGGGTTTGTAGTTTGAGTTTCAGTCTTAGTGGCTAGGAGGCTGCTGAGGCCTCCCATATGGGCCTCATCGGCCAGTTTGCCAGGCGTAAACATGGAGAGTGATTTAGGGTCTTCGAAAAAGTCTACTCTTGGTTTCTTGTTGAAATCAACTTTAGTGGAGTTGTTGTTGGTTTTTTCTAGTTCATGGTCTTGGTGATCACTAGTGGGGGACTCTACCTGCTTGTCGTTTTGATCTCTAGGCCGAGACGAGAGTGTGCGAAGTGGCGGTGCTGGCAACTTGTACCATTTGAAGTCAGGGTTAGCGCTGAAGAAAGCGTCTTTGTACTGGAGAAGAACAGAGAAATAGGTCAGTTGTTGTCTTAACATTTCTTTAAATATTAATAAAACTATTTTCTTAGCAAATAATAGATGATGCACCTGTTTAGCAAGACCTGTGTAGCAGGCTTTCTCCTCTTTGTCCAAGTTGGCCCACCACTCGCCAAGAATTTTCGTGATTGATCTGAAATCAAAAAGAATATTGTTACGTTCAAACCTATTTTAAATGAATTGAAAATAAAGAGAAATATAAAAAAAAAGAAAAAGATAATTAAAATGATTATAAAACAATCGTTTTAACTATCTTTTACGATTTGTCTAGTTGCTTTTTACCAAGTAAGTGAGGTTATCGAAGGACTAAACCTCTCCTCCCCTCCCCTCCCCTCCGATACTGGAGAGTAGGCACACAAAGGCTGGTGACGCAGTTGTCACGTTTGACTGGCAGATGGCTATGTACGTACCAACTAACATGTGGTAAAAATTGGCGCCTCTGATATTACTGGACCCTTGCGATCTTCAAACCTTCAGGGAAAAACTAACTCCTACTTGGAACTCTTGCAGATGCACTTGCAGGTGTCCTTGGGTTAGTTGCTTAACGTCCATATACTCTTTTGCCGTTATATCATAAAAATACTCGTATTACTAACCTGTTCTCAAGGTTGGGATACTTGTCCCTGACAACGCTACGGTGACGCTTGCAGAATATGAGGAATGCGTTCATAGGGCGGCGCGCATGATGCGCTGGCTCACCCTCGCCTTCCTGATCGTGCATTGCACAACACTATCTGAAACAATAGATATTAAACTTAAGATGTTTCAACAATATTAAAGACAACTCCCGTACTAGGAATAAACCCTGTGTCACGGGGGACTATACAAACATACACGAAACACAAAGAACACACAGTCTCAGAACAACAATTTGTGGATCACAAAAAGTGTTGTCCCATGTGGGGATCGAACCCATAACACCGAACGCAGTCGGACGCGCCGAGGTGACTGCTTAAACAACTGCGCCATCCGTGCAGTCGAATATTACAGCTATATAAGGGAGAGCCAAGTAAAAAGACTCACAGGGCAGCCAAGCACTTGTGACTAAGGAGTTGCAAGTGTTCATAGGCGGTGGTAGTCACTTACCATCACGTGACCCGTCGACGCGTTTTCCCTCCTAAACCGTCACCGCAGTATGTATGATTATTCAATTCTACTCTATCATTCGTCATCTCACTGTTTACTCCCTTCCTAGCCATATCCTCACTCACACTGTCCTTCCACCTTTTCTTTGGTCTTCCTCTTCTCTTGTACCCTTTAACTCCCATACCCAATACTTACTTTGCCTCATTTGCCCCATCCATGTCATAAACCATAAAAAAAAAAATATACATTCGTAAATGGTGTCCATATGTCACAATCGTAGGTCGCTTCACACCTCTTAATAAAGAGCGTCGGGCCGTAACAAGTCGGGCGTCATCGTAATACATAATTATAGTACATAGACTTACACTATAAATATTCAGTCAATCTACAAATCAATACGTGAAAAAAGTTCTTTGTACACCTTTGCAAAACAAAGATGACATACGAAACTATATAATACTAGCGGACCCGACAGACGTTGTCCTGTCAAATTTGACACTGCGATGGTAGCGCCGTCTGTCTGATCCAATGTAAAACATTCCAAAATCAACAACTACTAATAAATTAAAAATTAATTAAAAAAACATTGTCCAGCGGACAAAATTGTGAATCTAAACCATTCCCAGATCCCCTTGAACACACACAAAAAATTTCATCAAAATCGGTCCAGTCGTTTGAGAGAAGTTCAGTGACATACACACTCACAGAAGAATTATATATATAAAGATTTTTTAATACTTAATGTTTATATGAAGAATTGCACAAAACTATTTTTTTAATCAAAAGTTATCAATTATGTAACAAGGGTTACATAAAACTTTAGATGTCCAGTACATATGTCGACCTGTCGTGGTACACCAGTCTACAAAATGACGTTCAAGTTACACTGGACAATGAAACAAAGCAATACATTCAAAACGGTCGAAATTCAGTTCAAATTACGTTAATATTATTAATTGGTAATTAATTTGTGTTTATTAAGTGCCTGTATTTCTTTAAACATTTTAATTTAAGATGTTTGATGACTTTAAGTGTTTATCACACGAAACTGTTTCAGCATTTACAAACAATTTAAATTCATAAGGACCAGGCATCAAAAGAAGAATAAAATTGTATTAGTTTGAACGGAACGGAACATTGCACAATAACAAACGTTTGTAATTCTACATACGCTCAGAGAATCGCTATCGAATACACTTCACTAATTGTAAGCTTTACATCCACCAAATACCAATTACTAATAACAAACAGACTGGTAGGTAGTTCGTAACTGCGATACATGCTAACACAAAGACACAACAAAGCTTCGTACGGACCATAATATACTTTTAAAAAAGTCTCATCACAAAAAAAATAGGTCACCTAAATGAAAGTGTTTTTTTTAAATCCTAAATGAAATTAATGATAAATCTAAAAACTAACCGTGATAATCATGAAGCTCGTTGATGATAATGTTCAAAAAGTGATCACCGTCGTGTATATTACATGAGCTAACATCACAATGTATTGTATCCTGAGCTACTGGAAATTAAATGTTTTGATATACGCATGCCCAGGGAAAGCGCAGGCGCCGCGCGTCGTCAGCAAGTACCAAACGCATCCCCGGATGCGATTCCAGGAACGCATCGGCATGTTCTATAAATAGAATCTCTGAACTCAATAAATGAAACCTTCGATGAACTAGTTTCGTGTTGAATTTTGATTTATTATGTAAAGTTGGATTATTTTATAAAATAATATTTTGATAGGATTAACATATTACGTTTTTCGCGCGGTTTCGCTGAAGTAAAAGTGAGGTTTTCAGCTTTCGTGAACAATATTCTTTGACCTACGCCCTTTATTGTATCCCTGGCAACGAGTACCTACCTAGTTCATATCATATAATATGATACTTTTACATCCACGTGTACAATTTCGAAGGACAGTGATAGACAGTGGTATTGAACGCCCACGTTTTGCGATTTAGTGATTTTAATTGGTAATTTGAATCTATAAGAAGAAAATATGCTTATATTTTTAATCTAAAATACGGTAGGAATTCGTGGAGCACAGCGGATTTGTGATCTGATTGTGGTAGTCTAGGGTAACTGGCAAAGAAAACTACATTTGCTGTAGTTAAGGTTTTCTTCAATTGGTAAATCTTCAACGTAGGCGGATAAGGTTAAAAAAGCACAAGATTCGATACCCGATTTCCACATTTTTCTTTTATAGTCTTATCGGAACCTCTTATAACGTGTATGCAATAGTTCAAGACGATCGGTTGAGTAGTTAAGTGTTGAAAATCGGAACAAAATAACTGATAGAATTTTTAAATCATTTATAAACCATACATTCACAGCTTAATTAAGTTTATTTTATTCACTAACAAGATCCATAATAGCTTTAAAAAAACAATAGTTTAACACATTCGCGGCTAAGTACAATAATTTTCCAATCATCAATTTTCTTTCAAAAAAGATATATTCACAAAAAATAACTTTGAAGTACGGAATCAAATGATCGTCTCGAACTCTACCTACTACACTACAACTAAACCTACTCCAAACAAGCATAATATATAAAAAATCAAATTAAACGAACAAGTACTAAATGTACGACTTATAAATATTTAAAAACCTAATTAGAGATTTAGACTATAGAAGCATATAGAAATGTTTCTCAATTGACACTAGAGAGAGGCATTTAAATTCACACAAATCGTAACACGAAATTAAAAAAGAAATGGTCTTACTAAACGCACCGAAGGTCACATGATAACTAAAAAGATTGTCGAAATATCTTCTTAAAACATACAGTTTAAGTATCACGCATTATCAACGGCCTTTGATAGTCCACTGCTGGACATAAGCCTCTCCTTAGAAAGGAGGTTTTCACACTCCGTATTCCTAATCCGTCAGCACACGGAAGGACCACAAGTATCACTCGCGCGTATAAAACTGTAACTAAATTATATTCAGATATCTGATTCTGATCGTTGAACTTACACTAAATGGTCATTAACTATTATTGTAACATTAGTTAACGATTCTCATTATTAGATCAAACATTGACAAATAAATACCTTTCATTAAAAAAATTTAAGTATCATCATTCATCATTGACTGGCTTGTTGGTCTAGTGGTTAGTGACACTGACTGCTTAGCCGCAGTTCGATTCCTACCTAGCACATATCATTGTGCTATGAGCATGATCATTTGTTCTGTGTCTGGATGTAATTTATCTATAATATGTGGCTTTAGAAATATTTAAGTATGTTTATCAGCAGTCTGGTTACCGTACTACAGGTTCTGCCTAGTTTGGGATCAGACGGCCGTGTGGTGACGGATTTAGAATACAGATTGTTACCCCTATTCATTCCGTGGGTGTTGTAAGAGTCAACTAAGGGAAAAAACTACGCAGAACAACAACACTGCAGAGAGAAGGAAAACTTGACACAAACCCTATACCAACCCGTCTGGCCAGCGTGGTATAGTAGGCCAAAACCTCCATTCTAAGGAGAGGCTTATGTCCAGCAGTGGACTATTAAAGGCTGTTGATGATGATGATGATGATGATGATGATGTGCATTTTCTTGCATATTTTAAACGACTAAAACAATGGAGGATCTAAATTCGGTTATAAACTTTGTTTGTTATCTCAGAAATCCCTTTAATTATTATGAACCGATTTCGAAAATTGTTATGGGAGGGTATACTTCCCGTTTTCGGTTCCATTCAAATTTGAAGAAACAGTACGTTTGTATTGTTTATTCAAATTAGAGTTGTCTAAGGGTGGGCAATTAAGGAATGAAGAATACAGTTACCGGTATCGGTGATACTCTTACTTAATGATAATTTTTATGTCAATATTGTCGAGCACTAGTTTAACAAAAAACAAATTGATAACAGCTTTTGTTCGATCGTAGAAAGTTTACAAGAAAATGAAAAAGAATACAGTTTGTATTTATTATATTATTAGTCAAAATGTGGACGAATTGACGTCTCAAAAAATTAATTATTTCTCTTGTACTTGTGGTTGACACAATATGTAACCCAGATTGTGCAATACTTTCTGGATTCTGGCTGATATCTCTTATAGCCGGCCTCCTGCCTGACGCGATTATTTTGTACACTATACTGATACTATAAACCTGAAGTTTGTTTGTTTGTTTGGTTTGAAAAATTCATTTAGTGTTCAATAGTTATTTATCGAGGTAAGCTTTAGGCTTTATAAATAACGTCACGATACGACTAATAGTAGTCGAGCATGAGTGAAATAAATTATAGTTCAAAAAACTAAAAAATTCGCTTAGTAACTAGACGAAAGTTTAATAAGAAAAATCATTTTATCGTCAAAAATCGTTGGGTGTTAGATCTCAATTGTTGTAAATATTTTATTGACAGATATTGGTAAAATTTCAGTTTTGATATAATAAAATATGTTGAAAAGCACCCCACGCTTCAAATTATTGTATTGTCATCGGTCCTTGACAAGTCTGCGAAGTTTGAATTCAATCCGTCGTTTTAAAGTGGGTGAAAATCACGTTCAAAGATTCCGTTATATAGATCCATATATACACATACCAAGTTAATAAAAAGCGTGTTAAAATTTTGCTAAAACGGGGGATTTTTTTTTTTGAAATGACGCGGACAAGTT